TTTGGATCCTTCCTTGGGCGTGAACACCTCCATTGGGAGATATTGCTTCTCTGTATCAGGTACATCCTCCCTCCTACTCCTTTTGGTTCAGATCTGGTTTGGTTCTTGATTCAAGATTGATCATTGAAAAACATGTTTTTCTAAATATAGGGAATTCGATTCCCTACAAAGATGGGAGAAATTTTTGAAATTCGCTTTTTTCATTCTGCAAGACTTGGGCGTCCATGTGATGGATATCCCATCCCTTCAATTTTTTGTTGGGAGATATTATTGGAAAGAATTAACATTGGTGACCTGCTTCAAAGAAAGAGACCCAATTCTTGTTTATCCCTGCATAGGTGTATTCTCTGCAAAGTTGAAGGGGAAACTGGTTATCACTTATTGGTTTCTTGCCTGGTTGCTAGAACTATTTGAGAATGGGTATTCTCCCTCTTTGGGTGTAGTTGGACCCCCCCGAATTCAGAAAGCCTTTTCTCTCCTTACTTTAGAAGGCCTTTGAAAAGAGGGAGGATTATATGGAGATGTATTAGGGCAACAGTTTGTTGGTCTTTATGGGAAGAAAGAGATTTGCGAATTTTCTCAGAAAAGGAGAGAACCATTGAAAATTTATTGGAATTGATAAACTTAAGAATGATACCGATGTAGGACCAGCTCAGTTCTAGTGCTTAGAGAATGTTGAATGGTCTTCTTGATCAGAGTTTTATGGCTGTTGATGGCTGTAATGGCTTCTTGAAAGGAATAAAAGAGAAAATAGGGAGAGAAAGAAGAGAGAAAATACCGGGAATCACTCACAGGGTGCCTAGAATCACTCTAGGGGATGAGAATCACTCACCATAACTAGCATAAGCTGAAGAAAACTCAATATAATTCATTACCTTTGTGTAAAACGTCCATACATATTTATATACTACAAACTTATAATAATCCTAGGAGTCAAACTGTTAGATTCATAATAGTCTTAGGAGTTAAACTGTTAGACTCAATAATCCTAGTAGGACTCAAACTAACCTGCCATATCCTATTTCAATTCAAAGAAATCTCAATAACTCTGATCCTACTTATGCAATGACTTTGAAATTTTAAACATAAACAAACTATAACTAGACAATTTAAACCCTATCATTGGACCCCAATAGGAAATTGCAAAAGTGACAAAAATACCCCTACTGTCCAAAGATACAGAAATTCATAAAATTTCAATTTTGACTCTTTAGCTCTTGCATCATTCTCCCCCGGTTGAGAAAAACTCGTCCTCGAGTTTTGAACAACTTGAAGATGAAAAGTTGATATGCCCTAATTACAAAGGGAGTAGGACTCCCACAGCTATGTTCTTGGATTGTAGAGTAGAGGCCACACACAGAACTAGAAAAAGGATCTTGAAAGAAATGTATTTCTAAAACACCGACTTCCCTAACCATCTTTGTGAAATCATCGATAACATTACTTTTTGAACACTTAATTCATCAACCAACCATTATGATGAATCTTCTCTTTGCTTATCCAAACTCTTAACTGCAACATTGGGAACCTTTCCTTCGACCTCTAACTTAGGAATCACCATCTCTATGTGTTCTGCTATCCTTGGCTCTTCAACAAACTCTAGGACTCTCATTGTTGATATTGGTGGGACTTGTGCTATGTTAGGTTGCAATTCTTGAATTAGTTCTAGTTGAACTTGAAAGGTAAAGTCAGTTACTTTCTTATTAGGATCTACTACAGTCAACACATTTGTATTTTGCACCTGAATTTCTTTAACTTGATCCTCTTCTATTTCTTCTTGATCATTAACCTCAGGCTGATCATGGGTGTTGGAAACTCCAACAATTATTGTTTTTTTTTTTTCTTGGCATGCACCCTCTTGATTTTTAATATCTACAATTTCTATAGCTTGAAATTCTTCTTCTTTAGCTTCAGCTATAGGATAGGTATCAACATGCAAGGAATCATCTACTTTCTTTTTAACTTTGTACCTTCTTCCCATTGTCTTACTTGAAAGAAGAACTGTTTACTGTATTACAGGTTTGAAGAGAAGAAAAGAGAGAGAGAGAGAGAGAGAGAGGAGAAAAGAAAGAAGGGGTTCGGTGGTGAATGATCTGCCACCCCATACACTTCTTTATTTATAGCTTTTAGGATCCTTAAAAGAATAGGAAATAAACAAAAATTAGAAACAATAAGGCCAGCCTGCCCAACTTAACA